CCTACCTTGAGCAAACAAATCTTTATCACACAATTTATATCCCAATTACTAAACAGAAAAAAATCAAAAGCACTATTGCAGAACTACAAAACTACTTTAATTTTAAAGGCATATCTTTATATCTTCTTAATCTCTCCAATCTACCAAACCCCCACTAGGATATTTTAGACAATTATTTTTCACTGCTATGAATGAAAATTTGCAAACTAGCTTACTGCCTACTAGATATAATCTGACAAACTTATACTTTACATTCTTTGCTAAGCTATTCTATTATATAAATACTAAAAATATATACAAAGAAATTTAGAAACCAAACCAAAGATAGATATAACAAAATACTCCAAACCCATTAGTTATAATTACATATGACCAAAACAATACTCCTCCTCACTTAATAGATAGAAAATTTTACTTATAGTTTAATAATTTTATTCACTACAATTTAATATCTTTTATTTTAAATTATATTGTCTAGAGGTTTTTCAACCATTTTAGCTAAGAATAGGTTGAGAGTAATTATTAGCTCTAACTTCTACTCCCTTTCACTAAATGTATAAATAAATACAAGTTGTATCCACATTATATATTTTGAAATAAAAGAATAGAGAAAAAACCTCTCTTAAAAAAAAAATAAACAATACTTCTATTGATTGCTAGCAATACAGATTAGAATTAATTGATGCTAATTTAAAATTAATTAATATTGATTAGTATCGCTTGATTTAAAATTAATTAGTATTAAAAAAAATTAAAATCGATTATTTTTTTATTAATTGTATATTAATTAGTAACCAATATCGATTATTATCAATTTTTTAATCAATAACAATTATTTTTATAGCTAGTAATCAATATTTATCTTATTTAAAAATTTTCTAATATACTATAAACTTTAAGCTAAAAATTCTTTTAAACCTATATATTAACTTATTTTAAATTTTATATTGAAAATAGTAAAATAAAATCACAGAACAACTTTTTAAAATTTTGCAAACTTTGTATATTTTGCTAATAAATTTTTGTAAAAAAAAGATATATATATACTAATTTTAAATCTGCAATTATATATAAACTATTATGCTAAACAAGTTTATTTAAAAAATAAAAATAGGTTATTTTAATAAAAAAAAAAAAGATATAAATAGATAAACTAAAAATTTTAATATTTTTATATAGAAACCATTTTTTTTTATTAAGACAATCTAGTTTTGCTTTCTAAGTAAACTTGTTTAACACAAGATTTTATATCTTTAAAGTAGTTTTATTCATTTTTGTGAATGTTATGCTAAGTAAAAATAAAGTTAAAATTAGAAAAATTTTTTTTAAAACAATATTTTTTAATTTTAATTTTTTTTTTTTTTTTGGTGTTAAGGTAATCTCTTTGGCCATGGTGACTCTTTATTAGTAATTATTTATTATTATAATTACAATGAAAATACAACTAGCTACATGCCTATCTTTTAAATACCTATTTAAGTAGTCCACTTGTAGGTTCTATACTAGATATCATATCTATAACCCAACTAGAGAGTTATCTATTTAAACCTTCTAATCCTAATCATTTTTAGTATATCATACTAACCTGGAAACTACTATCTGGCTTGTTCCACTAGATTGCATATTCTGCTTTAGAACTTCTGTGATTTATCTTGGGTTTGTACCAACTAATTACTGGTTTGCATTTTTCTATTAAGTAAATATATAGCTATTCTCGAAGTAAACCTACTGAAGCCTTCTATATTCCGTATTTAGCTAACCCAGTCATCATAGTTGCTGAGGCTTCTACTCGCAGTTTGGTATAATCCAGTTAAACTACTATGCTCTTGTAAGGTTTATTTTAACCCCAGTATTTATATTCGAGTTTTTCTTTTTTTATTTTTGCCTTATTGGTCTCTTTTTTACTCCCAATTTGTAACCCAAAAGATTCAACTCTAGCTAGGTTCTAGATATCTTGTGCTCTCCTTATCATAGTATATAATTTTATAGCACATGTTCTTTTTTTCTAATTGGGTCTGGCTAGTCTTTAGGAATTGCCCAGCCCTTGTTGTTAAGTGGAATTTAACTCTCAAATTCTAGTCATGGTGGATAACCATCTCAGTTTTCTATACCAGCTAACTAGGTTGGTGTGCTAGCTTTCTCTCCAATTAATAGTCAGATTAGTAAATCCCTTCACTTAAGAATCTTGTTATTATTTGGTTTTCTAATCTCAGTTATTACTTTCAAATTCAACATTTCTGTAGCACTGTCAAAAGTATCTACTACCTCCTTACTCGGGTCTTTCCAAATGGGTTTCGATTATCCTAGTTTCTACAGCAAAGTTTTCATAATAAGATAGTACAACCAAGATTACAGATTGTAGATTCAACCAATCGATAGATAATTATTACTTAATACAAATTTATTTTTCAAAAAACATTATCTATAGGATTTGAACTCTAGACCTGCCACTTGGTGGGGTGACGACTAGACTACTTTACTAAGCTTTTAATCTTATTTTTTACTTAGAAAAATATTTGCAAAAATGCAGTTAGGAATTTTATCAAATCGATTTCAAAATATTCTATAAAGAATACTTAAGTAATGATTAGCTTATAATCATGCTTTTTGGCTAAAGTTTTTTGCTTTTTTATAATAGTTAGTTACAACTATTAAATATACTATTAAAAAATAGAGAGCTTGTATTTTTATAATTAGTTGATAATCAATTATAATTAACTTATTTTAACAAAATAAATGTAAATCAAAAAAAAGTTACAATTTTGTTATTTTTTATATTTATAATTTATAGTTAGTTTATTTTTTATATTTAAATTCAAAAACATATACTAATTATTATAATGTTTAAATTTAATATATTAGTTTAAAAAAATTATCTTAATACTTCTAAGTAAACTTGTAGAGATGATTGAAAAAAATTAGTATCTCAATTTTTAAATTATCTAGTAGAGAACTTATAAAGTTATAGTTAATTTTGTTATGAAAATATTTATCAAAATTTTTTAGCTAAATATAAGTATATTAGTCATATTATTTTGGTATATTGGCCAAAGAAAATAGCCTTTGAGTTTCTAAGTAAACTTGTAGAGAGGATTGATTAGGATTATTTTAGATTATTTGGTCAATAATTTGCAGAGTTATAGTCAATTTTGTTGTGAAAATATTTGTTAAAATTTTTTATCTAAATATAAATATATTTGTTACACTATTTTGAATATATTAGTTAAAGAAAACTGTCTTTGAGCTTCTAAGTAAACTTGTAGAGAATTGAGTAAAGTTAAAATTTTAATTTTTAGATTATTTGATTAAGAATTTGTGAAGTTATAGTTAATTTTGTTGCAAAAATATTTGTTAAAATTTTTTATCTAAATGTAAATATATTAGTCATGTCATTTTGAGAATATTGACCAAAAGAAACTTTCTTTGAGCTTCTAAATAAACTTGTAGAAAAGATTAAGTAAAGTTATAATCTCAATTTTTAGATTATTTAGTTAAGAATTTATAAAGTTATAGTCAATTTTGTTGTAAAAACATTTGTTAAAATTTTTTATCTAAATATAAGTATATTTATTGTACAATTTTGGATATTGTTAGTCAAAAGAAATTGCCTTTAAGCTTTTAAGTAAATTTGTAGAGAGAATTAAGTAGAGTTAAAATCTCAATTTTTGGATTATTTAGTCAAGAATTTGCAGAGTTATAGCTAAATTTATTGTAAAAATATTTATCAAAATTTTTTATCTAAACATATATATATTTGTCATATTATTTTGGGCAGTATTGTTATGGGATAGCTTTGAACAATACTTTGAACAATTAAATAAAGTAAAATTACTTAAAATTTTATTAAAATAATCTATTTTAATTTTAATTAAAATAGAATTCAGCATCTAAAAAAATATATAGTTATATATTTTTTAAATAGATTTATTAATTATTAAAGCCTAGACAAGCTTTAGACAATCTTGAATACTTAGACAATTTTGGATATGGACAAGTCAAAAAAGGCTATAGATAGCCAAAATGTACAACACTAATTTTGAGTATGTTGGCCAAAGAAAACTGCTTTTGAGCTTCTATATAAACTTGTAGAAAAAATTAAGTAGAATTAAAATTCTAATTTTTAGATTATTTAGTTAATTTTATTGCAAAAACATTTAGCAAAAATTTTTTCTAAATATAATATATTGTTTTAGATATAATAGTCAAAGTAAATAGCCTTTGTACTTCTAAGTAAACTTGTATATAGAATTAAAAATGATTATGCTATTTTATTAAAAACTTGTAAAATTATAGTTTTTTTAGCAAAAAATATAATAAAAAATTATTAAAATTTGATTGGTCAATTATAAAATAATTCGAAAGAAAATTCTAGAATTATTTAATCAATAATCATTACTAAATAAAATTTAATTATTAGGTAAAATCTCTGACTAAAATAAGCAAAAACATTTTAAAAATATAAAACTTTATACCAAACAAGTTTACTTAAAAAACAAAACTAAATTGTCTTAATAAAAAAAAAATATTTTCTATATAAAAATGTTAAAATTTTTATATATAACTTTTTTTTTTATTATAACAACCTATTTCTATTTTTTAAGTAAATTTGTTTAGCATAACAGTTTATATATAATTGCAGATTTAAAATTAGTATATATTTTCTTTTTACAAAATTTTATTAGCAAAATATACAAAATTTGCAAAATTTTAAAAAGTTGTTCTAAGTGATTTTATTCTACTATTTTCAATCTATTTAAGTTCAAAATTTGAAAATAAGTTAATATGTAGGTTTAAAAGAATCTTTAGCTTAAAGTTTATAGTAAATTCATATGTTTTTATTATAATTTTTATTATAATTTATCACTCGGTGTAACATCTTCCCTGACTAATAGTGCAACAACGGTAGAATTATCACGTGCATTACAGAAAAGTCAATAAATTACGCGACTTCTATCGCGTTATTTCAACTTGTCAACGGAACTTATCAACATTTAGATAACATGATCTTCTTTTTAATTGGTAGGCTTAGTCGATTTTTAAAACTTTTAATTGATTTCAAAATGTATAAGAATCTGCTAACTATTTATACTTTCTGAGTAAGGCTCACTTACACCACAAATTACACGCCTAAGTTCTTCTCCCGTAAGATGTCCGAGTTGCGTTGATCCTTCTCCAACCGTATTTCTTAATAAACACCAAAATAAGCTCTCAGTTTTCTTTATTCCCGTTTGGTGGTTCAAGCCAAAGTTTCTTTGGATTTGTGAAAGATGCAAATGGACAGGAAACACAAGGCCTAATGATGAACAGGTCCGACAGAGGGAGGAAGCGGAGTTGACGTTGCGACAGCGGCAACCTTTGCCAACTTGGGTAAAATTGTCAAGCACCCGTGTTTTTATTTTTAATCACAGAATATTATTAACTTTTTATCAAATTGACAGGGGTTGAGAAAGTGTAAAACTTGTGATAAAGAGGTAAAACTTATAGTTATTCAAATGATACGCGATTACAGTTACATCTTGTGTTGGAAGGATTCTCGTAAATATTGATTTTGTAGATTAACGTTTCTGGTCGCATCAAGTACTGCCCATACTGCGGAAGTCCGGTTCAGGTCTAAGGTAAATTTGTGCTTATTTCCCTTCGCGTATAATAATCTGCTGCCTCTTGTTAGATCTAACCTGGTTAAAAACTAAAGGGCTCAGAACAAGTAACTTGTATTTATTTACATCCTGGATCAGTACACATTGCCAATAATATCGATATACAGTATAACAGTCAGGGAAGATGTCACACCGAGTGATAAATTATAATAAAAACAGAAATTTTAAGCTAAAGATCTTTTATAGATGAACGATTAGAATCTAATCGAATAAGTTGTGACTTTTCCATCCTGTTAATATTTTGCACAAGTTATTATGTGAAATGAGAACGGATTTATCAGCAAAAATGACTCGATCAAAATTTCTAATGATCAAAAATTTCGATACATAAAGTCTTGACAGAAGTAATCTCAGCGACTTCGAATAGTTAATACAGCTTAATTACAATAAACATTCACCATCACATTAATTATTCGACAAAATTATGAATTACCAGTGTATGATTCTTCACATCTCAGATGAATTCTTACAGTTCAAAGATTTTAATTGAATAATTTAATGGTTGATCTTGATTATTGGTTTTAAATCGAATCTTCCATATGTTTGATACACGTTCATTAGTGTTTGTTACATAAAACTTAATTCTACAGTACGTATGACGGATAAATTTTCAGAATAATCAGCTCGGTATAGTGAAAGGAAACTATATTTATAAAAATGAGTGGATTCATAAAAGCAATTTAATTTTATCTTTGCAAACCTATTTTTTTGTAGCTTTAACGTTAAACGGTTCATTTGAATACTAAAACAATCTAAATTGTAAACGTCATGAATTTCAATAAAAAAAAATAGAACATGTGACAACTTTTTTGGACCAAAGAGGAAAAGAAGCAAATCAATTAAGGGATAAGGGATATTGTCATTAAATCAGGTGACACTTGGAATCACAGGTGATTGTTAAATCTGTAATATCGTGGTTGATAACCCTTCGTTGTACTTTTTGTTTTTATACAAAGTAACTTTTACAAGTCGAATAAACGATTCTTTGACTCAAACAAATATATTCCTCAAGACTGATCCATAACAACTTAAACACTCATATGAGTGCCATCACATCTCTCCAATCACAACAAACTCAGCAAAAACAGGGTTTTCGCAACAAAATCATGTCTTTTAATAGTCGAAGAAGTAATAAAAAGCATCCTCCTTTGTCTTATGATAGTGCTCCAGGTATGTCTAAGTTGAAAGTTCTTGTTTTGACTTGACATACATTGATTTCTTTTTACGTTGTTAGCAAGTGCTTCAACGTAAACTGGAACATTGCTTTTAGATGTTTTATCAGTGATTTTCCGTTTGTTCTGAACCTTCAAGGTTTTAGGGTACACAACGAAAAACTCATATTTTGAACGCAACAATATTTAGCTAACGCTTCATTTTTCAACCTTTTAAACTCACTATTCATGCCAATTACCAATTATCTAAACAATAAAAAATAAAAAAATAAATAATAATAATAATAATAATGATAATAACAAAAAACTATTTTCACGGTGAATTCTACGGTAGAAGGAGGAGAAGACCCACAAACTACACCGGCTCCAGCCAGTCCTACCCAAAGTGTCAAAAGTCTTAACCATAAATCGGGGCGGCCATCTCTCTTCGCCGCATTTGCTCGCAGAAATTCAACCAAAAGCGAACACTCCTCAAGGAGTCGTTCACCAACCAGCCCTAGGCCTTCTAACGATTATAACTTAACCGAAGATTTTCGCACTCCTAGTCCGACACCATCACGAGATTCAATGATCTTCGAACGTGACATTGAAGTTCACGATCATCTAAGCGTTCACGAAGCTATAGACCTCGCTATTCCTCCCGGTCTAAACAATGTAGCCGAAGCCTTTGTTAAAGAAGAAATACCTATTATCACAGAAGATGGAACTGATTCTATAGTTAAAAATAGGAATGATTCTGAAAAACTTTGGATTAATACAACAAGGGGAGAAATTGAGGGGCGGAAAAGATTGTCACTAATAAATTATGCGGACATTGTTAATCGAACACCAAGCCCTGGTCCGTTTGATCAAAAGAATACAATCGCGGAAACTTTGCGAGTGACGACACCGAGAGAAATGAACGGGTTGACAGGAATATTTGACTCGTGCAAATAATCAAAATTATCCAATTGAGGAAAATTGTTTCCTGTGAGTTATGCAAATGAATCAGGTGAGAATAATTTTATTAAAAAATCATTTAAATTAACTTTCTTTGACTGTGAGCTACAAGTATTTCGTTTCTCTTTTATCAAAGTTTTGATTTTTTTTTCGCTGAGTATACACCGGCAATATGGTGGTAAATGACGACTAAAAAAAAATCACTTTCGGTTCATTGGATCAATATCATATTATATTTTTATATTACGCATTTCTCTAATCTTATACATATTTATTCTTAATTATTTTTGATTCTTAAATATTTTTCTCAGGAAATTATTATTCATGGTATATATACACAAGTTGAAAAAATTAGGAAAGGCAAACCAGGGCGCACAACTATAAAATTGTATTATTCATTATCACTTTATTTTTTTCGTTATATATATTATACATACATACATATTTACATATACACATATATATATACACATGTGCCTGGCTTCCATTTCGCTGATGAACGGATCAAAACGTAAAAATTAATTTATTAATAAATTTTTTTCTCAACAAAACATATAAAATTTATATTCAATGGGTCATAAGTAGAGTTGCTACGGAAAGTCTCAGGAAACAGTAATAATAACGACTATTTTACATTACTACGAAAGCCTTCACAATTTTTAAGTTGAATTAGTCACATGACTATAGAGATAGCAAGGGTTTTTTTTTTACTGAATTTATCACATAAAGTCATGTGAAATTGCGTGATCTACATTCAGGGTCAACAGCAATCGCCACATCGCTTCTTCGGTTACAGGCTTTTATGTACACTTAACTACTCGTAACTTCTGTACTTTGTAATTTTGTCTAAAGATTACACGTTTGTAAGTGTCGACCTTAAATTTACAAATTTCATTTAGAACATAAAATAATGCGCCCCTGTATTTCTATCTTGACGAATACAAGTTCCATCTACATAAGCTATACTTTTAACTCATTGCACAACTACAAATAAACGAAACAACACTTTTTCAGCCATTATTTTAACCTCTTAGCTTTTTATGTAGTCGGAGAGAACGTTAACACTACCAGGATTTTCGTCATACTGAATAATATTTGTTTGCAGATGAAATAATTGGTGATATCAAATAAATTGTAGCACAGAAATCATTCGAACTCATTAATTGGCCACTTAAGGTTGCTATTTACGTTTATTGCTGTCCTGACCTAAATAATTTTGATGACTAATCCTAACATTAATGGACCAATTATTTGAGTAACGAGACCGTTTATTTGTACCAGAGTGACAAGTACAGTTCGCCCTTGTCATTGGCATATACGAGTTTTATATTAAAAAAGGGAGCTGTAATGTTGTAGGGTAAATACAAGTTTCGCATTTTGAAGGTTTATTCTAAATGCATCATACAGTGCCATGTATAAAAATTTAGACCTGCAATTAGAATCTGCACTTATGTATGTATATTGGTCCTAAGATAATAAGATCTGCATCTAGAGTCGATACAATATAACATAAAAATTTTTTAAAACTACTCCCTAAGATCCTGTCAAAATCGATAACTTATCACACCTGATAAAAAAAAAAACAGGTTTATGCGATAATCTATCACTACAGTATAGAGATTTAAAAGCAATTCTGTTAATTTTTTTTGTTATCGATGGCCAATCAAATCAAATTATATCATATGATTTTTTAAATTTGATAATCTCTGAACTACGTATACAAAACGCAAAAAAGCGAATCTGGTACCCAATTTAAGGCATAAGCCGATTAGTAATCAAATTAGGAACCGGTTAAGCTAGTGTTGCACAATCATTTTACTGATCCCATAATTTTGTTCACTTTCTGCACCCCAAAGACTCAAGCTGTATAAAAGGTATTTACATTAAATGGCTTAAACAAATTTTTATAGATTATATTTAGCTTCTTTCAATTTACAATATATTTACAATACGTATAAACTTTGTTGCGAATTACTAAATACTTATAAAGATGATTATAATATATATACTGTATTTTGCATAACTCCGGGCCTCTTCTAATCTCGCGTTTTACGAATAATATTATTCACGTGAATATATACATGTGGATGATTTACGTATGATTAGAGAATTATGCGGATCCCGGGATTAGGGTTAAAAAAAAATTTAGTTGACCAATCAAATTTCAATATTATAAAAAGTTTGACCGATTACTATATTCGGGGTTATTAATTTTTTAAAAGTGCACTAGGTACGTACTATAGTAGTTTGGCCAGTATTATTTACATGATCCTACCCGAAATTAGCCGGCGTTATAGTATATAAGCTGACTTGATAACATTCCGTGTAACTTAATTTATGCAACGCCAATACGTGTGAGTAGCTAAATTATGCGAGATTATGCGAATTTCTTAAAATTATGCAATAATCGCATATTTTTTGTGCTATAAGGTGAATTATGCGGATATTATGCCGGATCATAACCCTGGACACTCTACATATGATATAATTACGCATTCAAACACGTGATGAGTTGAATCTGAAAATTAGGGCCAATGATTTTTTGCTTTCACGGAATTTTGCAGAAAAATCACGAAACTTAACCTGGATTTAGGATCTAGTTATCATAACGATATAGGGATGTAAAATTACTGTAATTTTGTGTAATTTTGAGTAAGTTTCTGTAAATTAATTTTCGGCGATTTGATGAGTTACAATTCGGATAATATATTTAAATCAAATGATGCATAATGTT